CTAGCAGCAAGAATCTCACTAGTTGAAAGTACAGTCAAAAGTCGTTAATTCGGACACCCATAATCCGGACCTCAAAGCTACAAACTTTCTGCGCATGCATCGCGTTCACGCATGCGCACAGGCGTTTACGAGAGCGCGTAAGACCCTTACGGTTGCGAATATGTTTGTGCGCATGCGTGTTTAATGTGTAACGGAGTTATACGCTAAGCTAAAGTTATCTAATTCAGTTAATGTTGCAGATTGCGTTGTTTCTTAATCTTCGAATTGGATCCGGCTTATTATTTTTTGCAGACTGTTAGAGCAGTTTTATAAAAGTAAGCTTGAACTTTCGATTATGTCAAATAGAATTTCCGATATATATTTACTACAAAGCGAAAGTATGTTTTGAAATCTGAAATCTGTTTATCAATTTCACGCTGCTCTGCGGCAGAGGGGGGGGGGCAGAAACATCATTATTAGATTATGATAGATTAGAAAGATTATGTCAAATAGAATTTCCGATATATATTTACTAATATGTAATTTGTATCTACAAAGCGAAAGTATGTTTTGAAATCCAAAATCTGTTTATCAATTTCACGCAGGGGATTGGAAGTTAATCTGTCAGCACTATCCTTATCTTCAGGGCAGATGTTTTTATTTTATTTGGTTTATAATTCCGTACTAAGTGTAGTATCTGTCTTTGATACGATTTAAATCAAGTTCCTCGTCATTATAATTCGCTTCCGATAGTGAAGAAAGTGACCCAGAGGTTATTGAAAACGAAAACATTTCGATTGACAAATTAGTCAGTATTCTCAACACAGCAATTATAGGACTTGAACAGCGGAACTTTGTAACTAAACAAGAAATTATGTCTGTTTAATAGAATTAAAGAGAAAGTATTATCACATGAAACGAAGCAACTTAAACAACTTACATTGAAAGAAATGTTGAATAAAGTAAACAAATAAATATTAAGCTCTTTCTTTTTGTAAATTTTGATACCCTTTAGATCATAATTGTTCTTTATTTCATAAATTACGATTTCATATTTTTAATTTTGTAATTTCTGCATGCCATCTTACCAGATTTAAACTGATGATCTATAACCCGGAAAAATCGATAATCCGGAATCGCCGAAGTCCCGACGAGTCCGGATTAACGACTTTTGACTGTATAAGATCATTCTGAGTTCTTGCCTTACCTTAAATAGTTTGCAAACTGAATTAATCATGCTCTCTTAATTTTTCAATTTATTTTATGCCCTCTGATTCATTATAGCTGAAAACAATATCAGAAAAGAAACAGGACCATTGGTCCATGAGCCTCCTTGAAATCGAGATGCTTTGATGACAGATACAGTACAGATCGCTAAAATCCCTTGAGACTGGCTGTGAAGTTATGATTCCTATAATGTCAAGTGGGGCCATAAATGAACGAATTATTGCTTCTGCAATGTCAAAGCCTGTGTCTCCCACCTCTGTTATCTACATTTTAAATTTATAACATACATCTCTCTAAATCACATATGACAGCAAAAATATTAATAGAATTAAATAAATTCTGCCCCATCACAATTTTCACAAAACCCATTTTTTCCCCTTATCTTTCCTGTCCCCCCTTTTAGCTCAAATGGGTGTTAGCTAGAAGGGCTATCAGTTTTGAAATGGCATTTTGCATCAAATCACTATTAAAGGACTGAACCACTTTTCAAACTGTTGCCACCAAATAGCTAGAAGGGCTATCAGTTTTGAAATGGCATTTTGCATCAAATTACTATTAAAGAACTGAACCACTTTTCAAACTGTTGCCACCAAATACTATCGCCCTGCATCAGATTTAAAGAAACTAAATAATGAAGAACCAGCACAAATGTCTTATGTTTTTTGCACTGTGAAAGAACAATGGTGCCTAAAGTCATCAAATTTTGAATAACATAGTCCTCCCCCAAAATATGGGCACCTGGAAGCTCGAATTTGGAATTTGTTTTATTGTATATTTCTTATTTTGTAAAACTAACAAATTTTTTATTAAAAAACTCAACGATTTCAAAAGGAGCAGTGGCAACACTGTAGGAAATAAAACATTTTTATCTTCAGTGTGCGAGACTGCCTATTAAAAATTCTGAAGATATGCTCCTTTTAAATCGGTTTAGGCTAAATGCTTTCGAAATGTGTATGTGTCTGTAAATGAAAAAAAAAAAGTTACGGCATAATATAAAATCTGAAAGTTTTCAGGTTTTTGTTTTTAAACATTTTGATTATCAACAAACAATGATCTTATACCTTCAGATAGAAAAAGCTTGCAAATGAAGATCAGATTCATGAAATAGACAATGAATTTTAAAAGGGGGTGGAGGGCTCATAGTAAAAGGCATCCCACTTACTACTGAATCTGAGTTTCAATAATTTTTTATCTTAATGACTATATTGCACAGAGGTTTAAAGGAGGTTTATTTTATTTTACAAGAAAAGTAATGACATCATAACATGGGCTACAATTAGCCACTGTTTACAGCCAGGGGTTGCCAAAGTGGTCTATATAGACCCGTAGGGGTCTATTTAACAACAGTAGGGGTCTATCTGACGCAAGGGGTCGAATGGGGGTCTATTGGGACTTGAAGGAAAAACAGTTCTTAATAAGCAAATCACACATATCTAACTGCGTACGTAAAAATTTAAAATATTTTTATAATTGACTTAATATTATATTCTTTATAGAAAATAAAAATAATAAATCAGAAAACAATCTGCCCCTTTTTTCCTTATGGGTTTTCGTATGTATACCGTGACGTCACAACAACTTGACCTTGTGACCAGTTTGTAATTTGCACGACTTATAGTATGTAGTCAGAAGAGCGATTGAGGCTTATCCGTGTCTCTTGTGTCTCTGGCTGGCGAACCCATCAACCAATTAGAAGCTTTTGGCGCAGACTTGGCGAGCGACGACACTGCCGTTGGCTTTCTATGCATTAAGCGCGAAGGGAATCTTCAGTACTCCATTTTCTTTCTTCTTATGTGTGTGGTTTTAGTTCTTTTAGTTTTTTCCTTTTTTTATACGGCAGTTACGCATCATGTCGTTGGTTCGCCCTTTGTCTCCATCGCAAACCATACGAGCCTTGCACATGAATCAGATGCATATGTGTGCTTGTCCAATTCTACACTGGATGCTACAAACGCAAATATCATATGCATTTTCAGCTATCTTTGTGAACTGTGAATCTTGAAACCGATAGGAAGGGAGTGACAATTTTTAGATGTTTACAAGAATATTTAAATAAATATGACATTCCGCTTGAAAATATAATAGCAGTAGCCACAGATGGCGCACCTTCTATGGTAGGGCATTACCGAGGTTTTGCTACATGCCTCAAAGAAAAAGTGCCCGGTATTCGTACTATTCATTGTGTGTTGCATAGACACAACTTAGTAGCAAAATATCTGATTTCAGAGTTACATGAAGCTTTACAGTTTTGTATTAAATCTATTAATCAAATTAAAGCTCAACCTCTTAAATCAAGATTATTTGCCAAACTTTGTGAGGAAAACAGTGAGTTATTTAACCAATTACTTCTGCACACTGAGGTTAGATGGTTGTCTAGAGGTGCATGCTTGCAACGGCTCATCAATTTATTTGACTCCACGACAGAATTTCTGAACGAAATAAATCCTGTTCTAAGCAATGAACTCCAAAACAATAAGAACCATATTTTTTATTTAGCAGACTTATTTGGAAAATTTAATGACGTTCAAACAAAACTGCAAGGAAAAGATGTAACAATTATTCAAGCTCGGACAATACTGTTAGGCTTCCAAGTAAAATTAAATTTATTTAGATCTTCATTGCTACGTAAGGATTATAAGTATTTTTCAAATCTGCAACAATTAAAAATAAAAGAAGAAGAGTTGGAAATATGTATACAAATCATCTTCAAAAATTAAGCGACGATTTTAAACTGCGCTTTGTTGATTTGGAAAACATCGACATCCCTGATTGGATTATTGCGCCATTATACAAGATGAGCTTGCTGAACTATTGTCCAATCTTGAAGCAAAAACGCTTATTAAAAATTTGACAATACATAAATTTTGGACTAATATAAATATAAAGCAAAAATATGTGAAACTTTACAAAATGGCTCAGCCATTTATGCTGGCGTTTCCAAGTTCGTATATGGTTGAAGCCGGTTTCAGTCACATTAATTCAATTTTAACTAAAAACATAAATAAATTAAATGTGGAGCTTCAAGGGGATTTACGGTTAAAATTGACTAATTTCAAACTCAATATAGCGAACCTTGCCAAGAAACACCAGGCACACTCATCTCATTCAGAAGTAAAAAATCTGTAGCTACTTTACTTACTGTTTTTGATTTATTAAATATTTAGACTATAGTTTTATTTTAATTACCTGAAAATTACCTTTGTGGGGGTCTATGGAGATTCCGAAAAATTATATAGGGGGGATGATCAAAAACGTTTGGCGACCCCTGGTTTACACCCAGAGTGCACTGCACCAGGCAAACCTGGTGTTTTGTATTAGCTGAGAAATGCTTGGCGCTAGAGTGGAATCTCGGCTAATGGAATTGGCAGTGAAATGTATTCTGTGAGAAACTTGATTTTTGTGGTACATGGGAAGTTGCGATTTATATGTTACGCTGTAAGGTGAAACCTAGCGCCAGAGAGTCGCCATGGAAAATAAATGTATTGAAACTGTGTAATGTGTGTGGTGTTTATATAGCTATCGATGGGAAATAAAATCAGTCAATTCACCTGGCACTGACTAATTTACACTGAACATATCATCATGAAAGGAACTCCTCATCAAAAGAGTCACACACACACACACACTAAAGAGATTAAAAGAAATATGCACTAAAAATTTCGATTTCAAAATGTTTTATGAAAATACATTATTCTGGAAAGAGAAGCTGACTACTAATAGCACTAACACACACAAAAAAGGGCAAAAATAAATAAGCATAATAAAAAAAGTATAATAATTCAAACTCAACATACAGCTCCACATTCCTCACAAATCTTGCTCTTTTTTTTCTTGCTTGATTCACCATCTTTTTTTGAGCCTTCCGATTTACTTTCTTTTGTATTTGCACCATGTTTTTTATCTAAAAAGAGATAAAATAGGAAAGGAATAAAATTAAGTTCAGACTTTTTTTTTTTTTTTTTAAATTCTGTGTTAATCAGAAAGCTTTGTGAATAAAAAAATCTATTTTACAATTTTAGAATTACCAATAACCATCTTTACTACTCTTCATAAGTGAATTACACAGTTATTGATTTTATTAATTGTACAAACAGTAATTAATATGTGATGATGCTAACAAGAAAAATCTTAAATTTGGAGGCAAATTTCCGTTATTAAAAATAAAGTACATAATAGTAGTCTTAAGGCTATTATAGCTTTAGGAACATTATGATATGGAAGATTTCAAAAAGGAAACATAAAAATCAAATATCAATAAAATGATCATCTATTAAAATTCCATACAAGTTTAAAACCAATGTCAGCATTTTGTTATTTTTTTAAAACAGTTCAGATGATTTCTATGTTGTAAAAGAAAGCATCAGCTCAGTTTTTAATTTTGTAAATTCAAAAATAGATTCTTTTAATTGATTTAGACCAGGGGTTCTCAACCGGTGGTACGCATGAGAAAAATACGTGGTATGCAAAGAAGCAAAGTATTTAACTATTAAAAAATTAACCCTTTCAGGGGCGCAATGTTATGATTTTTTAAAATTTATGAAAAAGTAAGCATAATGACATGCAATGGTCCTATAGACAACATAAATGAGTTTAAAAAAATTTTTTTCGTCCCCCTTTATGGAAAGGGGACCGGTTTCGCCTTGAAACCAGCGCTCGTCTAGAGCACTTAAGACTAGACATTTGCTTATTTATCTTTACTTTGCTGAAAAGTATCTAAACGTAACCCAAATGGCAGATTAGATTACTAAATTACTGAACAACTAATAAAGTAAGTAATATTTGCATAAACACGCATTTTTAATTATAAATAAAAAATTTAAAAGAGGAAACAAAAAAGTATGAGACAAAAAGTAACTAATAATGCACTAAATTACTTGCATAAAACTATGAAATATTTTTAAAAATTATGTTTAAAAACTAAGAAAAATTATATGTAAAAATAAAATAAATTAAGATGCATACAAATTTTACTATGAAATAGAAGCATGAGAAAAGCGACCACTAAGAGAAGCATAATAAAAAATAAAAACGCAACTACGAGTGTTTTTTCAGTGTGCTCTGTGTCTCTGTAAAAAAAAAAAATGTTTTCCCCCCCCTCTCAAAAGCTCCATAAATCCTCATCTTTGAAGCCACTCAAACGAAGATATTGTGCAACTGTTTACAGCAGTGATCCGAAAGCAATAAATACAACTGCAAAAAATCTCGCGACTGCGTCATCTGATAATTTCTTCGATGTCCCAGAGGGGCGGTGGTTTCATACTGAAACCGCAATGAAAACATTCAAATTTAAAAGGGTTCCATTACTTTTTTTGTGAACTAAGGACATTTCATTACTCATTGATGCCTGCTTATAAAATATATTGTGGAAAAATTAAAATTTTTTGCTTTTAAAATGCGTCAAAAAAGTAGGGTGCAAAAGAAGCTATTTTTGAATGATTCGTATCAATTAATTAATGGATGCCCAGAAAGGAAAGGTTTGCTGCTGTCATCTGTTATCAGCTTTAAGAAGTAATTTAATTTTAGCAGCGGTTTTGAGAAAAAAAAAAATTCTAATTTCTAAATTTAAAAAAAATGTTGAAAATGCGGTTTCAGGCGAAAATGCCTTGAAAATGCGGTTTCAAGGCGAAACCACCGCCCTTGAAAGTGTTAAAAACCCCAACATCTTGATTGAGTTTTTTTCTCTAACACTTGTAAATTTATGCCATCTGAGCTTTGTTCAAGAGTGATGGTGTTGGTACTAAAGGTTTTCAATTTTTGTTTAGATGGTATACATTAATCAAAAGGTTGAAAACCGCTGATTTAGACCAAAATTAAGAAAAATGTTAAGGTCTAATATATACCAGTTTTTAATTCAAATCAAATTTCACAGAGAAATATTTCAGTACTCCGTAGCATAACATAAAATTTTAAGGGCTAGTTAGAAGAATAAGAACTTCAAAAATATAAACTAATGAATTTAAGAAAAGAAAGTTAACTGTAAATGCTAAAACTGGCCAACTGTAAAATTCATCCTTAGACTGATGCTACAGGAAGACTATGTATTTCAAAGAAACACAGCCCTCTTGTTCAGGAGAAAAAATATTTGCATTGCTCCATCTAATTTCAACACTTTGTAGAGTCATTAGGTTTTCTTGAAGTAGATATGAAACACAATGCCCTCGTCAGGACTCGAACCTGGACCTCTACCGTTACACTAAGAAGGCATGCTGGAAGGAGGAAGAAATACTTTATATGTCCCCCTTTTAAAGGGTGATTGGGGATTAAGGGACCTAACTGCCAAACCCTGGTGGTGCTAAATTATTGTCCATCACCTTTTTTTTTTTTTTTTTTCTTTTTTTAGTTTGGGTGCCAGTGTAGAGTCATTATGGTTATTTTGACACTAGTGACTTCAAAAATGAGCAATGCCCTCGCAGGGACTCAAACCTTACACCATGAAGGCATACTGGAAGAAGGAGAAAATACCTTATAATTTAAAACACAAAACAAACATAATAAATTTAGTATAATTATGCAGAATTTAGTAGAATGATTTTTGCACCTTGAAGAAATGAGAATCATGTTAGAATGTTTCAATTCATAAAGCATTTCTAATCTAGAAAAAATTCTGCCTGATTTTAAAACATCAGTGGAAATTGCTCTAAATTTATTCTTTCACTTGTTGAAAGCAAAAACGGCTATTAGCCTTGAAATACATTTTTGTGTTGATTTACTATAAATTTTTTATACCATCCACTGTAAATAAAAGTGTATATTTAAATGTCATCAACTGAAAATGCAGTTTCACTTTTGGTACAACTTTCAAATTTAATCAGTCTGTTACTGATTAACAAAATAAGCAACAGATGCTGTTTTAAAGAATAGTACTTTTTTTACCCTTTAATAATATTATTGATTTAAATAAAAATGCAAATAATTTATGATATATCTAATTAAAAATATTAAATATTTTATAGAATTATATATTTGCCTTTCAAATACACAGAAGATATGTAATGCTCCCATGTTCATGTACGTGTACTTTCATCAAATATCCTATAATATATTTTGTTATCTCACCTGGGTCATTATTGACACAATATTATTAAACTTTAATGAGTTCTTTTGGGCAACCCCTAATATCTGAATCCTTTCAGATTTTTTTAGGGGGTGCATTATTGATCTGGTATTGGCCTCAAGAAGTTCACAAATTTAAAAGTTTATTTAAATAGACAAAAGAAACACTTTTGCAAAACTATTACAAGACTTCTACACCAACAAGTGGAGCCAAAGCAAAAGTTGTCATGTTCTGACGAACGCAAGAACTTTTAATAAACGTAAAACTGACATCTATACCCATTATCCCTCTTTAAACAAAGTTGCCCATACGGGTATAGTGGTTAGGGAAGCATACTACGGTACCGAAGGGTCCGGGATAAGACATGGATGTTTGTAAATGTATAGCGTCAGTGTGGCATGGCGGCACTTTAAATATGCAGCGAGCTGTTCTCTTGTGTGGATTGGTGGGAGAGCCCCAGATCCCCCCCGAGTGCTCTCCCTCAAAGTCGGGGTTGGAAAATAGAAGTACCAACCTCTCTTCGAAGTAGGCTCTGGCAACCACTGTTCCACATGGACAACAACAACAAACAAAGCCATACTCTTGGTATATGGGATGAATGGTAAAAAAAAAAAAAAAAAAAAAAAGGTAGTTTTCACAAGAAATAAAGGATCAACAATGTATAACTGTTTATTTCAGTAAGAAATTGTAAAATCCTGCTCATTAGTTGCCAAAATTGATTTCCTGCCCATAGTTGGCTTGTACTAGGTCCTGATCACCATCGCATCTGGATTAGTAAAGTTCACCCATTTTCAAAAGAATTACAGGTAAGCATTTTACATTATGAATTTCACTTTGACTGTATAACTCTTTAAGTAATTAACATGACTTCTGAAGAAAATTTTGAAAAGTTAAAACGAAAATGTAGTATTGAAAGATGCCATACTACTAAATTAATTTCAAGAATTGATGTTGCTTAAGCAGATGAAAATGCTATATGTTTTATCTTGGACGAACATCTAGAAGTTTTAATCAAAAAATGAATAAACTAAAATCCTTAGAGAGTAAAATTGAAAATTTCATTGATGTAAACTTAGTTGAGAAAGAAGTAAACATTAGTACTGATTACCATGAAAAATGTATTAAGTATACTAACAAACTTAAATGTTTATTGAAACAGAAACTTTTACTAACTTGTCGACATTTGAAAAACTTGTAAGTACTCTAAATTTACTCTCTTCAGTTAAATTTTTAAAGTTAATAATCAAACCATATTCAAGAGACCCAAAATTGTGGAATTAATTCTGGAATTCGTCTGAAAGCACTATCTATCGAAATGATTCACTTTTGAAAATTGAAAAGTTGACATACTTGACTGGAGGAGCGTTAAATGTAGTATCTGGTTTTCATTTAATCGATAAAAGTTATGACAACTGTGTAAAATTACAAAAATTACATAAAGATTGTTTTGGTCAAAAAGATATCATCATTGATTCTTTTATGAGCAAACTTTTAAAACTTGCAAAGTGTTAAAAATTCTCCATATGTTCCAGCTTTGAGAAAGTTATAATATGAGCTCGATATCGTTATATGCAATTTAAAATCACTGCAAGAGGATTCAAAATCTTATGGTCCACTTTTGATTTCAATTGTTCTAAATTTATTGCCAGAAAATCTTGTTTTAGGTTTTAAGCGGAACACATATTCAAAATGTGATGTAACAATTTCTGATCCTCTTCTTTTTTTAACCCTTTCAGGCATGCTACCTTTTAAAGGTCGAAGTTTTGGTTAAAAAAAAAAAAAAGGTAAGCAGTCTAATTAGGCCTAGAGGAGTACACAAGTAAAATTTTGTGAAGATAGACTTATCA